GAAAGATTTTAATCAGACGCAGACGAGGAGTCACAATAACGTGGCTGAAGTATGCTGACCAAACCACACACTAGAAAGTGAAGGGACGACGACGTTTCGGTCCGTCCTGGACCATTCTCAAGTCGATTGTGAGAATGGACATTCACAGTCAACTTGAGACTGGTCCAGGACGGACCGAAACGTCGTCGTCCCTTCACTTTCTAGTGTGTGGTTTGGTCAACATTTTAATCAGACATTGTTTCAACATTTTCTGGGTCCATGTGTACTGAAACATCCATAAATGTGTACTCATGGTCTACTACAGGCTGTCTGTGCAAGCGTGTCAACAGACCGGCTCAACAACAGGGAGCCGGTCGGACGAGCGGACAGCACGCTGGTCACGTGATCCTGTGGTCCCGGGTTCGATCCCGGGCGCCGGCGAGAAACAATGGGCAGAGTTTCTTTCACAATTTGCCCCTGTTACCTAGCAGTAAAATAGGTACCTGGGAGTTAGTCAGCTGTCACGGGCAGCTTCCTGGGGGTGGAGGCCTGGTCTAGGACTGGGCCGCGGGGACACTAAAGCCCCGAAATCATCTCAAGATAACCTCAAGATAACCTCAAGTATCATGATTGAGATGCCAAGATCTTATTCACAAATTATTTTCTCTATCTCTTGTCAATTTTTATATCTCTGTCTCTTTGTATCTCTCTTCTGTCATACACATTCCTCCAGGATTCAGCCTGTAAAAGCTGCCTAACTCCCAACTAATTTATTGCTAGGTGAACAGGTGCATTAGGTGAAAGAAACTCTTCCAATATGTTTCTGCCTCGGCCGGGAATCTAAGCCGGGCCCCTTTAGCCAGGCTTGTGTGTGTGTGTGTGTGTGTGTGTGTGTGTGTGTGTGTGTGTAGCTCTCGCTTAAACGGCGTACTAGCGAGAAGCTGTTGATCATCTCATCTTGACGTTCCACACACACACAGCACACTGATAACGCAACATGTATTCAACAAACAATGTGGCAACGCCAACACACACACACACACACACACACACACACACACACACACACACACACACACACACACACACACACACACACACACACACACACACACACACACACACACACACACACACACACACACACACACACACACACACACACACACACACACACACACACACACACAGTACTTGGGCTCAGTACTTGGGCTCAGGGCTCAGTACTTGGACCCATCCTGTTTCTAATATATGTGAACGATCTTCCAGAGGGTATAGACTCATTCCTCTCGATGTTTGCTGATGATGCAAAAATTATGAGAAGAATCAAGACGGATGAAGATAGACAGAGACTACAGGAAGACCTGGATAAACTGGAGGAATGGTCTAAAAAATGGCTGCTAAAGCTCAACTCGGGAAAGTGTAAGGTGATGAAATTAGGCGAAGAGAGCAGGAGGCTGAACACAAGGTATCATCTGGGAGGGGAAATCCTGCAAGAGTCAAATAGAGAGAAGGATCTGGGGGTTGATATCACACCGAACCTGTCCCCAGAGGCCCACATCAAAAGAATATCATCAGCGGCATATGCTAGACTGGCCAACATAAGAACTGCCTTCAGAAACTTGTGTAAGGAATCTTTCAGAACCCTGTATACCATTTATGTAAGACCAATCCTGGAGTATGCAGCTCCAGCCTGGAGTCCATACCTAGTTAAACACAAGACAAAGTTAGAGAAGATTCAGCGGTATGCCACCAGGCTCGTCCCGGAACTGAGAGGATTGAGCTACGAGGAAAGGCTAAAGGAGCTGAACCTCACATCCCTGGAAAACAGAAGAGTAAGGGGAGACATGATAACCACCTACAAAATTCTCAGGGGAATTGACAGGGTGGACAAAGACAAACTCTTCAGCACGGGTTTGACACGAACAAGGGGACACAGGTAGAAACTTAGTACCCAGATGAGCCACAGAGACGTTAGAAAGAATTTTTTCAGTGTCAGAGTAGTTAATAAATGGAATGCACTAGGAAGTGATGTGGTGGAGGCTGACTCCATACACAGTTTCAAATGTAGATATGATAGAGCCCAGTAGGCTCAGGAATCTGTACACCAGTTGATTGACAGTTGAGAGGCGGGACCAAAGAGCCAAAGCTCAACCCAAGCAAGCACAATTAGGTGAGTACAATTAGGTGAGTACACACACACACACACACACACACACACACACACACACACACACACACACACACACACACACACACACACACACACACACACACACACACGTACACACACACGCACACACACACGCACAACTCCTGGCCTGGCTGGGTAAATACTTTACCTGCTTGATGGGGTTCTGGGAGAGGAAAGGGTCCTGAAAGATATTGTTGATAGGAACTTTATCCCTACAGACAAAAATCAGAAAATATAATTGACAATTTATTATAAAACCAAAAAACGGCAAATCTACTCATGAAAAACTCTCCAGATACAAAGCAGAACGCCTTAAAGGAGACCAACGTCGCCTATGCCTTTAAATATCCACTTGGGGACTGTAAGCCCCAAAGAACTCAGTATATAGGCAAGGCAACAACGTCTCTTTCCAGGCGATTAACAATGCATAAGCAACAGGGCTCCATCAAGGAACATATAATCTCTTCTCACAACCAAACCATCACCAGAGAAATTTTAACAAACAACACAGAAATCATCGATAGGTACAGCGATAGCAGGCGGCTTGACATCAGCGAGGCACTACACATCAAAAAGTCAACACCAGCAATCAACAGCCAATTAATGCACAACTACATTCTACCCATTTCAAGACCCCGAACCAATATGGAAGCAGCAAGATGAAGTATGGGCCAATAGGCCTTCTGCAGTTACTTCCATTCATATGTTAACTTATCCAATTTATACCCATTGTTTCGTGTTCTGTCTTGTGTTTGTCACCTCACCCTAAACTTTTGTACCATATCACCTCATCCAACAGAGTATAAGTACGAAGAATTTGTGTGTAAATTTTATTAACCACTCTTTGTGAACCATATTTATGATAATGAAAGGTTCGTGAACGATCAGAACAGTCGATGAGTCCCAGTAACGGGGCTGAAATATCAGAAAATAAATAAACAAGGATGGTTCTGTCTCTCCCCGGACCATTTTCTACTGATCACGATCC